ATATTCACAGTAGCCATGTTGCCTTCGCCATCCAAATCCTAACATCTTCACACTCGAAGTATTAACCTTAAAACCCACTTCAGAACATCTCTACAAAGCTGGATGAGTAGCACTAATTACTCCATACATCTACAACCAGTCGCTAGGTTCCTCAAATCACAGAGTATATCAAGGTACTACACAACTTTTTAGTTGATCATATCGTGGTGATGTTATCATATACTTCTGATATCAGGTTCCAATCAGAGTGAGTTTGTTGTTAAGATGATTTGTAGCATAAGTAAAATTTGTCAGACTCTCACAGTATAACAATTGTCCAACTTGAATGTTTTGTAATTGTTTATCAACAAGTTCCTAATACCATTCATCAAATATTTCCTGAATCATTTTGATACTAAATAACCTAGACGTTATGGACCTCACTAAAGTTCCTAGACATTTTGATGCCGCTAGATTGCGTGGTCTTCACTAAGGTTCACAGGATAAGTTATACATATTTTAGAGCAGTGCTTTCATTGAACTTTAAGGTTCCTGGACGTTTTGATGCCGCTAGATTGCGTGGTTCTCACTATGGTTCCTAAACATTTTGATGTTGCTAAATAATCTAGATGACGTGGTTTTCAATAAGGTTCCTAGACGTTTTGATGCCGCTAGATGGTGTGGTCCTCACTAAGGTTCACAGGATAAGTTATACATATTTTAGAGCAGTGCTTTCATTGAACTTTAATATTATTTAAGATCGATAATATATTTTTTATTCATAATCATTAAAATATGTATTTGTTCGTTCAACTCCACATGGTTAAATCCCAGATTTAAAATAATTAGTTTAAAGTTGAAAATATCAAATGTGTTTGTCATCTCTGAAGTTTGACAACTGTCATTCTTCTACTGTTTTTTATGAACATTTAACATGTATATATTAAATCAAATTCCATCGTGAAACCATTGACAACGGTTAGTTCAGATTCTCTACCGACAGATGACATCATTTGCAACGATGAAACGGGACTTCCTCACAGCCCACCGTTTTTGGCAGGGTCAGGAGGCCACTTGAAGGTTCCTCGTCCATGGGAGAGATGTCTTGAAGAGAACAAAGCCAAATGGCAGGAAATAACTGGCAAAGGTAACTTCAGAAATTACTCATTTATTACATACGTCTGAATGAAAATGTTAATTTTTTATTGTATAGTGTATTATTAATTTAAATAAATTTTAATTATTGAGACAATTCATTAACAAAATAGTAAGCAAAACGGATTTTTTTTCGATCCGTAAGAAAGTTTCTTCACGGAACTCCTATTAAACCGCTGGTCACACCGACCTATAAGTGACAACAAAGGAATCGTTTCAGTGCCGAGGTTCGCAAAAAAATAAAAATTTTCACCCCACTCCTTGAGGAACCCAGAGATTTCCCGAAAAACTCTTCTCCTAAACTACTGGACTCGCCAACTCGCCCCGAGGTCTGCCCTTTAGGGAATCCGGTTATTTTGCGAAAACACTTTTTTACAATAGAGCACATAAATAGTAGATCTACTACTTACCATTCGTAAGTTATTTAAATAATTTATACTTGCATTATAGCGGCAATTATCATTAACTGAAAAAGTGCAAAATAGTAGTTGAAGCATCAAATATGAATTACAGCAGACCTGTAAATGTGGGTCCACATGTTTAACAATGAATTACAGCAGCCCTGTAAATGTGGGCCCACATGTTTAACAATGAATTACAGCAGACCTGTAAATGTGGGCCCACGTGTTTAACAATGAATTACAGCAGACCTGTAAATGTAGGCCCACATGTTTTTTATTCTCGACAAGAGATGTATAAATCAACCCTTTGTGTGTTGTATGTTAAAAGAGTTTGTGTGTGTGTGTGTGTGATAAGAAAGAAACGTTAACGCTTTCATTGATATCTCAAATGTTTATATACAGATAATGTTTTTAGTACCTGCTCAAGACTTCTGTGTACTGTTTGTATTTACTACAACATCTGTTTGTATTTACTACAACATCTGTTTGTATTTCTACAAGTTTAGCTAATAGAAAACGTTTTAACAATATTTCTATGTGTTTATTTTTACATTTCACAGTTGCCCACGTTTTACCTTCGTGCCGTCGTTACGAATGTGAACACCAGCACCATTTTACACGTGTATTTTCTCGGGTTTACCACTGACGTTGCACAGTGTCATTGGCGATGGTGACAATGTCCAGATTGCTCATGATTTTAGATTTTTGCGGACCATTGGCCTTTTTAATTCTATTTAGTTTTTGACCTGATTTTTTGGGCATTGTTTAGCTTTCAAATTGTTTTCTTTTTTTTATGTTATATTTTACTTCTGGCATTTTTACCGATTGTTTGGCGCAGATAGACTAGTTACACCAAACAACCAACCTGACATATATTATTATATTTAGAAAGTAAAACTCACGTGAACTATGTGTCACATTATTGTATTAGAAAGTAAAAAATAACAACTACATTTTTTGATTAAGAACGCCCCAATTAATGAACAAAATTAGTTACATTTCTGATATTAGAGCAGAAATTTTCTGTATTATCTCACAAATATGTGCTGAAAATATTGAAGGTAGAAACACAGACAACAGCGCCCCTAGCACCAACTATTAAACTAAAACGGCTGACTGCCTCTACATGTTTGGCTGTTGCCAGATTTTCCCAGCTGTTGTGCGACAGGATGTTAAGTAAGAGATAACTTTGGGTTCGATTAATACAGCACAAAGGTCAAAGGTAATCGATTATACACCTATGACATCTCTTGGAATATTGAAATCAGGTATGAAGCAGTTGTTTTAGAGAACAAACAATAGAACTACTATTAGTTCTATTGTTTCAGATAAAGATCTAATTAAACCATCTAACTAATGCGTGAAAACAGTAGTTCTATTGTTTCAGTTAAAGATCTAATTAAACCATCTAACTAATGCGTGAAAACATTAGTTCTATTGTTTCAACCCTCAAACTAATGCGTGAAAACAGTAGTTCTATTGTTTCAGATAAAGATCTAATTAAACCATCTAACTAATGCGTGAAAACAGTAGTTCTATTGTTTCAGATAAAGATCTAATTAAACCCTCTAACTAATGCGTGAAAACAGTAATTCTATTGTTTCAGGTTTTTAGTGTGGTTTTAAACAGTAACAGAAGTGGAGGCCACTAGGAATATTGTGTTGATATTGTTTTTAATGTGGTTTTTAACAGTAACAGAAGTGAAGACTACAAGGGAGATTGTTTCTGTGTTGCCTTTAATGTGGTTTTAAACAGTAATAGAAGCGAATGCCACAAAAATAGTAATATAAATGGAGGCTTCTAATAAAATGAGGTTGACATAGTTTTCAATGTGGTTTTAAACTGTAATATAAATGGAGGCTTCTAATAAAATGAGGTTGACATAGTTTTCAATGTGGTTTTAAACTGTAATATAAATGGAGGCCACTAGGGATGTTGTGTTTATGTGGTTTTCAGTATGTTTTTAAACATTTCTAAGCGTATTTAAAAAAAATAACCTTGTTGAATTGTAATTATTATTCTAACAAATACGTAAGCTACAGAAAATAACTCATACTATGTATCTCAGCCACTTTAAGTACTTGTTACCTATCGCCTGTTTCTAATCGTATATATATATATATATATATAGTTTATACGCAAAAAATAAATAAAAAAGTTCGTGTTCTTTTTTTTTCAATACTTCGTTTAAAGACATATAACCAGTCGCGTAATTATACCCCCACAGTAATCGCGATTGTAAGGGGAGCAAAATGGTGAGATGAAAAACGTAAGAACTACTGACAAGGGAAGAGACATATAAATTAATTGGTTTGAATCAATGGCGGTTGTTCTATTCTGTTAAGTTAATGATATCAATCAACCTGAACTACAATGATAGAGAAATAAGCGTAGGAACTTTTTATGCGGGGAAACCACTCCTCTGTAGGTATGCCACTACATATAATTATTTACTTTTTTTTCTGAAACACTTATTTAATTCCAACCGTTTTTGACCTGATTATGTTACTTTCTTCTCTTCCATCCTGTTTCCTTCTTCTACCCCGGAAATCTTTCTCACACCTATCTATCTATCTATATATATATATATGACATGATACACTTCCAGGCTATGTGGTGACGTAAGTGAAAGTTGACAAAAACGTATTCTTTGCGGTTTTTTAAAGTGGAATGTAATTACTTCTGCAATCCTTTCTACGTTCAGGGCCGTAGGAAGCGGTAAGGCCCGTCAGGCCATGGCTTGACCACTTTCTAATGACATGTATAGCTACATTTTACGTATTAAAACTTGCTTCTTTTAATTCAATACATTCCGTTGTGTGTACACAGTATTTGTAGTTAAAATGGCTCAAGATTCAACCTAATAGCATTAAAGTTTAAAATTTTCTGGGGGAGCATGCCCCCACACCCCTAAAAATGGCAATTTGGTAATGCCCTGAACACTCTAGAAATTGCTTGCTACGGCAATGATGTTAATTAATTTTGTGATAACGATGTTTGTAGTTTTTCCTGACTTACTAACTAGCGTTAATATTTGTTAGTAACCTTACGTAATTCACTTATTCTTATGTACAATTATTTTTTTAATCTTGTCTGAACTGTGGTTTTTGTAATCTTAGCTAATTCACTATTTTTATTTTATTTTAGTTTCTATGAATCCTTCTGATTTACCAACTACTATGAAAACTACTTGTATAAATCAATTTGAGTGTTTTTAAATCCTAGTTCCTTAAACAAGTATTTAACATGTAATACTTTTTATCCTTTTAAAATATAGATTATTTCATAATTACTGTATATTCAGTCATACTAAGAGTTAACTAGAGAAATAGTTCCATTTCATTTGACGAGAAAATAATGTATCAGCTCACGAATCACAGAATAATAAAACAGCAAAGTTTTGTACCGTACTTTCTGATTATATAAGACACAGCGATTATTACAATACAGTCTTCTTTCCTACAGTATTGACAAGCCAAAGGCCCTTTCGCTAATTCTTCACTGTTGTGATATTAGTCATCCATGCAAAGCTTGGGAATTGCACTATCCTTGGACAGAAGTTCTTGTTCAAGAGTTCTTTCTACAGGTTAGTAATTTTTGAAATCACAAGCTATGCACAAACATTGTATTATCATATTCCATTGGTTAGAAAGAATTAAAAAGTGATTAACTAAAGTATGCTCCTTAACTGATGATTCTAAGCCTACCCTATATCTCAATGTAATATCTGTATGATTCTAAGCCTGCCCTATATCTTAGTGTAATATCTGTATGATTCTAAGCCTGCCCTATATCTCAGTGTAATATCTGTATGATTCTAAGCCTGACCTATACCTCAATGTAATATATGTATGATTCTAAGCCTGACCTATACTTCAATGTAATATCTGTATGATTCTAAGCCTGACCTATATCTTAGTGTAATATATGTATGATTCTAAGCCTGCCCTATATCTCAGTGTAATATCTGTATGATTCTAAGCCTGACCCATGCCTCAATGTAATATATGTATGATTCTAAGCCTGACCTATACATCAATGTAATATATGTATGATTCTAAGCCTACCCAATATCTCATTGTAATATCTATATGATTCTAAGCCTGTCCTATACCTCGAAGTAATATCTGTATGATTATAAGCCTGACCTATACCTCGAAGTAATATCTGTATGATTCTAAGCCTACCCAATATCTCATTGTAATATCTGTATGATTCTAAGCCTTCCCTATACCTCAACGTAATATCTGTACGATTCTAAGCCTGCCCTATACCTCAATTTAATATCTGTATGATTCTAAGCCTTTCCTATACCTCGATGTAATATCTGTGTGATTCTAAGCCTGTCCTATACCTCGAAGTAATATCTGTATGATTCTAAGCCTTCCCTATACCTCAGTGTAATATCTGTATGATTCTAAACCTGCCCTATATCTCAGTGCAATATCTGTATGATTCTAAACCTGCCCTATACCTCAATGTAATATCTGCATGATTCTAAACCTGATCTATACCTCAATGTAATATCTGTATGGTTCTAAGCCTTCCATATACCTCAATGTAATATCTGTACGATTCTAAGCCTGATCTATACCTCAATGTAATATATGTATGATTCTAAGCCTGCTCTATACCTCAATGTAATATATGTATGATTCTAAACCTGCCCTATATCTCATTGTAATATCTGTATGATTCTAAGCCTGCTCTATACCTCAATGTAATATATGTATGATTCTAAACCTGCCCTATATCTCATTGTAATATCTGTATGATTCTAAGCCTGACCTATACCTCAATGTAATATATGTATAATTCTAAGCCTGCTCTATACCTCAATGTCATATCTGTATGATTCTAAGCCTGACCTATATCTCAATGAAACATCCAAACGTATATAGTTATACAAAATATTTCTTTTGACATAAGAATATAAAAGTAAAATTGATTTCTATTTCTTTCGTTGTATACTTAAAACAAAAAGTAAACATTCTCAAAGGAAGATATAACAATTATATTTTATAAATAATATTTTATGTTTGTTTACTTCCTTATTTATCATAGGGAGACAGAGAACAGGATATGGGATTATCCTTCTCACCATTATGTGATAGGAATACTACAATCGTAGCTGAATCTCAAATAGGTACTTGAAAATAACTTACTCTTAACTTTATTCAAGTTGTGTAAGGCAAGAATTTTCACATAACATAAAACTAATTATCCTAAGTAATTAAAGCTGTGTAAGCAAGGCAGAAATGTTTATGTAACACGAAACTAATTTATTCTAACTAATCCAAACTGCGTAAATATGCCAGGAATTTGTACATCACATGAAACTAACTTATTATAAGTCATCTAAACTGTGTTTGTAAGCCAGTACTTGGTACGTAGCATGAAACTAGCTAGTTATAAGTAATTTAAGCTATACAAGTAAGCCAGAATTTCTACGTACATGAAACCAACTTATTCTAAGTAAGCCGCGTGATTGTTTATAACGTTGTAACATAAAACTAATTGGACCTTGATTAGGTTTAACTAAATAAATTCACTGATTTCTAGTAAACATAAAGCTAACGTAGCCAATTCACTAATTTCTAGTTAACATTATTGTGATCCTATAAAGTAAATGGCACACAATATATGTGTTTATAATAATAAAAATTATTGTGATATGCTTTTAAATGTTAATACCGAAGAAATAACTATTTAGTTTTGTATTTTAAAAGTGTTTTAATGTGAACAATTGAATAGGAGTAAAAGAGAACCCGTTTTCTTCTTATGGCTTTTTATCCTATTTATCCCAGAGACAATTCATAATCCTCATGTCTCCTCAAGATCCCCCCCCCAACACACACACACATACATACACACACAAAGTCTTGCCTTGCGATACTTGAAACGTACTCCATACTCTTTTTGTTTTGGCCAGTAAGCTCTGCCATTTTAATGTCTTCTGCACGTCGTTGAATTCACTGATTCATTTTTAGTTAGCTCGTTTTTCTTAATTGTTTTGAAACTATAAATTAGTTTTGTTATTGTATAAGAAGGACAGGTTTTTTTTATCTTGTTAAACCATTCGTGTCTCAAGATAAGTAGGTTACCAAGACAACTGTTGTCAGGTGAAAAGTTATACAATTAGTACAGAAAAAAAGAAACTTGTCAATTGTCAGGAATCAATACGTTAGGACTTTATATGCAGTGATTTAGAGTAAGGTTGGTTCATTTCATTTCTCACAAAAAGGAGGAGATAAATCTGTAGCTTCTTCTACTAAATAGTGGACTATTTGTGCGATCTTTCAGGATTTATTGATTTTATTGTGGCACCAAGTATGCAAGTGTGTGGAGATTTGCTGCAGAAAATTCAGCTTCAGCTCTTCAAGACTTCAGATGTGATAAAATATATAGATCAAGTAAACTGTATAAATAAAGGTGAGTAAAGACGTGGAGGGTTTAATTAGATCTTTATCTGAAACAATAGAATTACTGTTTTCACGCATTAGTTAGAGGGTTTAATTAGATCGTTATCTGAAACAAAAGAACTACTGTTTTCACGCATTAGTTAGATGGTTTAATTAGATCTTTAACTGAAACAATAGAACTACTGTTTTCACGAATTAGTTAGAGGGTTTAATTAGATCTTTATCTGAAACAATAGAACTACTGTTTTTACTCATTAGTTAGAGGGTTTAATTAGATCTTTATCTGAAACAATAGAACTACTGTTTTCACGCATTAGTTAGAGGGTTTAATTAAATCTTTATCTGAAACAATAGAATTACTGTTTTCACGCATTAGTTAGAGGGTTTAATTAAATCTTTATAGGCCACTAGGGATATTGTGTTGATGTTCCACTTCTGTTACTGTTTAAAACCACACTAAAAACAACATCAACACAATATCCCTAGTGGCCTCCACTTCTATTATTGTTTAAAATCACACTAAAAACAACATCAACACAATATCCCTAGTGGCCTCCACTTCTATTATTGTTTCAAACCACACTTAAAATAACATTAACACAATATCCCTAGTGGCCTCCACTTCTGTTACTGCTTAAAACCACACTAGAAACAACATCAACACAATATTCCTAGTGGCCTCCACTTCTGTTACTGCTTAAAACCACACTAAAAACAACATCAACACAACATCCCTAGTGGCCTCCATTTTTGTTACTGTTTAAAACCACACTAAAAACAACAACAACACAATATCCCTACTGGCCTCCACTTCTATTACTGTTTCAAATCACACTAAAAACAACATCAACACAATATCCCTAGTGGCCTCCAATTCTATTATTGTTTCAAACCACACTAAAAACAACATCAACACAATATCCCTAGTGGCCTTCAATTCTATTATTGTTTCAAACCACACTAAAAACAACATTAACACAATATCCCTAGTGGCTTCCAATTCTATTACTGTTTAAAACCACACTAAAAACAACATTAACACAATATCCCTAGTGGCTTCCAATTCTATTACTGCTTAAAACCACACTAAAAACAGGCCACTAGGGATATTGTGTTGATGTTTATTATTAACTATTGTACACGACTTTCAGCATGACTGTTTACATTATTAACTATTGTACACGACTTTCAGCATGACTGTTGATATCAAAGCTGCACATAAACTAAATAAAAGAAATTTGAGGCCTATAATACTAAAAGTAGAAAGCATATAATATACATGTATATCACACACAAATATATTGCAAAGAAACTGTTAATATTATTATCTAATGCATTAGTATATTTAAATATGACTTTTTATATTGTTATCTAGTTTATAACCATACTGCCTATGATATTTAATACAACATATTTGAACATGAATGTTTGCGTTCTTATGTAACTTACACATCTTTTAACATAAATGTTTACATTTTTATATATTATTGAACATGCCTGTTAACATTATTATCTGCTTATTCATACATTCCAACATGGATGGATTCATTATGATGACTTAGTAACTTCCACGACTATCAAGGAGACTATGATTACATTATCCTCTAGATTTTACATATCTATAAGTTTAAATCTAACATGACTGATTTTCAACACAACTTTGTAAATTATTTTTCATTTAAATTTATTCTAAAACAGTTTCTCCGTGTTATGTTCTATTTTAGATATCTCGTTACTCTGTTATGAACTTTACAGAAGTATTGTATAAATACCAGGATTCTGTTTTAGGTAAATAATGGCATATGCTTAACATTATAGATCATATGAACAGCAGATGTTTAACGTAATAGATTAAACAGCAAGTAAAAACGATAGAAGTATTGTATGGTTTTAAACAGTAACAGAAGTGGAGGCCACTAGGGATATTGTGTTGATGTTGTTTTTAGTGTGGTTTTAAGCAGTAACAGAAGTGGGTACACGACTTTCGGCATGACTGTTTACATTATTAACTATTTGAAACTTTTGTACACGACTTTCAGCATGACTGTTTACATTTTAACTATTGTACACGACTTTCGGTATGACTGTTTACATTATTAACTAAATAGTTAATAATGTAAACAGTCATGCTGAAAGTCGTGTACAACTAATCCTTACCAGTCAGTTCTCTGTAAATACTTACCAGTCAGCTCTTTATACAGTGAATGATCAGCCATGAAATTTCCAGTTCTATAACAATGAATTGATAGTTATATGAGATCACTTCACATGACGCGCTGAACACTTACTTTTATTTATTGTAACTACAATAGTATTAACCTTTAAGTGTTCTGTATATAGAATCGTTATCTTTATTGTGAATAAACAAACCGTATGCAGATCTGAAAACTGACGATTGATAGAAATATTCAGTGATTGTTGAATAATCAACAGAAATATCTAGACAAAATAACCTTTTGGCCTTTTGTTAGTTCAGTGTTTTGTGATTTGGAAAAGTGAAAACATTTTCTTGTTAACTATTTTGCGTTCTTTATTTTGTAATTGTGTTATTTGCGTTTTCTTATTTCTTTTTTTAATTTATGAGTCAACATGTAAATTTTAAAAGTGCATATCTGATTATATTTTTCTACGATTTGTTCTACTCCTTCAATTTAAATATTTCAATAACTTAAATGAATTTTCTAACTTGAAAGGAGACTTTTCATTTTTTTTATATATGTTGACGTATTTATAGATTACTATTTATTCTAATTGCAACTTTTACCACCAGGGAGTTTCGTGCTTTGTCTATCGAGCTGGTACTTGGAACGGACATGTCATTCCATTTTCAACAGCTTAAAACAATGAAAACTCTAGTCAGCCATGTAGAGTTTGGGCAAGTTCATAATATGATTTCATTTTATAAAGAATGAAAATAAAAAATAAGTACGTAAGTGAAAAATATACTTGAAATATATACATACAAACACTAAAGCGTATAATATTAGGATTTTCACAGGTTAAGCAGAATACAATCTAACAGATTTTTCTTATGTAGACAACCTTTATCGTGTGGGAAAAAAATGTTTAACGGAACAAAATAAATAAATATTATAAATGAGTTCCCAAAAGGTGAAGGAAAAGTTTTACATTACTTCAGTTTCTGAGAAAGGTATGTAGCTAGCGTTAGATTTTCACGTGATTCAGTTCCTGAGAAAGGTGTGTAGTTAGCGTTAGATTTTCACGTGATTCAGTTCCTGAGAAAGGTATCTAGCTAGCGTTAGATTTTCACGTGATTCAGTTCCTGAGAAAGGTGTCTAGCTAGCGTTAGATTTTCACGTGATTCAGTTCCTGAGAAAGGTGTCTAGCTAGCGTTAGATTTTCACGTGATTCAGTTCCTGAGAAAGGTATGTAGCTAGCGTTAGATTTTCACGTGATTCAGTTCCTGAGAAAGTATGTAGCTAGCGTTAGATTTTCACGTGATTCAGTTCCTGAGAAAGGTATGTAGCTAGCGTTAGATTTTCACGTGATTCAGTTCCAGAGAAAGGTATGTAGCTAGCGTTAGAGTTTCACGTGATTCAGTTCCTGAGAAAGGTGTCTAGCTAGCGTTAGATTTTCACGTGAATTTATAAACACCTTGCAACATTGCTTTTAACATTTTATTTTGTTTACACAACTAAAACAAAAACTGTTTACATTATTAGCTCTTGTAAAGTATTGTACACGACTTTCTGCATGACTGTTTACATTATTAGCTATTGTACACGACTTTCGGTATGACTGTTTACATTATTAACTATTGTAAAGTATTGTACACGACTTTCTGCATGACTGTTTATATTATTAACTATTATAAAGTATTGTACACGACTTTCTACATGACTGTTTACATTATTAACTATTGTACACGACTTTCTGCATGACTGTTTACATTATTAACTATTGTACACGACTTTCTACATGACTGTTTACATTATTAGCTATTGTAAAGTATTGTACACGATTTTCTACATGACTGTTTACATTATTAGCTATTGTAAAGTATTGTACACGACTTTCTGCATGACTGTTTATATTATTAACTATTGTACACGACTTTCTGCATGACTGTTTACATTATTAACTATTGTACACGACTTTCAGTATGACTGTTTACATTATTAACTATTGTACACGACTTTCTGCATGACTGTTTACATTATTAACTATTGTACACGACTTTCTAGCATGACTGTTTACATTATTAACTATTATCGAGCTGACTAGCATGAAATGATACAGAGTTAAGTGGTAAGGCTTGATAGAGAACTGCCTGGTAAGGATTAATATTGAATTGACTATCATGGAATGATACAGAGTTAAGTGGTAAGGCTTGATAGAGAACTGCCTGGTAAGGATTAATATTGAATTGACTATCATGGAATGATACAGAGTTAAGTGGTAAGGCTTGATAGAGAACTGCCTGGTAAGGATTAATAT